GACACTGACTCTGTTGATTGCAAGGTTGGCAGTCCAAGGCCTGGATGCTCCCAGCTTCTGCCAACCTACCGGTCTGAAAGCATGCACACGCAAGTAGATAAATAGGTACCACTTGGGAGGGAAGATAAACAATTAATCAATTTATTTATTCGGTCCTTGACCAGCATGGGAAGGTAAACAGTGTTCTGTGCAATCCTGCTGGCCACGTGATCACAGAGTAGTCTCTGACAACGCTGGCTCTTCGGCTTAGAAACGGAAATGAGCACCGAACGCTATGGCCGGATACAACTTGACAACCTTGTCAATGGGGAATACCTTTACCTTTAGCTCTTTTGGATCTTTTATTTGTTGTCCCTCTGTCTCCTTCTTTTCCCCTCCACCCAAGCTTTGTCTGCCCATGGTCTGGCTTCTGGGCCCCCCTCCCTGACTTAGGGCCTTTACAGACTGCCAGAAATAGTGCAAATTGAGAGCACTTTAACTGTCCTGGCTCAGTGCTAAGGAATCATGGGATTATTGTGGCACCAGAGCTCTCTGACAGAGAAGGCTCAATGTTTCAGAAAAAACTACAATTCCCATGATTCTCTAGCATTGAGCCAGGACAGTTAAAGTGGTCTCAATTTGCACTATTTCTGGCAGTCTGTAAAGGCCCTTATTTTTCCAAATCCAAATTTTTCTTAAACCAAGAATGCTTCTGATCCCAAGCATTTCAGATAAGAAAGAGGCAACCTGTATTGTGAAACACAAATGCTTTTATGTGTAAGTGAAGTAGACTGCTTAAAACAGTTGAAATTAGGTAATTCAAAAATTAATCTTTATTTTGTTGAATGATAGGCAACCAGCCTGTTTCAAGGTTGCTGAACTGAAGACGGCCAAGTCAAAACTCAGCTTTGGAGAATCCGGTCAGTAATTCCTTGTTGTTTTTTGCAAAAGCAAATATTTGGACTATCCCAATATCATTTTTACAAGACTACCCAGTCTTTTACATTCTTTAACATGAATGTAATTAAACTCTGTTCTGAAGCATCTTCCTGATGCACTGATCATATTCTCCCATATCTATACCATCAGTGCTCTTGACTAACCTACCAAGAACACAGACATTTTTCAAGTAAGGGCAGCAGAGCTCACCACCCTTATTCTGGATGTTTCACCTCATCTATCCCAGGAGTCATTCCCAGAAACAATGATCTGACCCATTAATGCCTCTTGATTCAAAGCAAAATCCCTTTAAATTAATTCTACACATTACTGATAACAGCATTTACAGAATGTAAGCAGGAAAGCAGATTGTGTGACCCTTCAGATATTGTTGGATTCCAAGTTCAAGCAACCCTAGCCAGCAAACAATGGGGAGGGATACTGGGAGTGGCAACCCGAACATCTAGAGGGCCACAATTCCTGCTCCAGGCACAAAGTGATGTTCACCAGGAGTACGCACTGGCTTGGGTCAGAGATGGGAATTGTTGTTCTCTCAATGTCCATGGATGGCAACTCCCAGCATCCTCAGCTAGCCCTGCTAATGGTGAAGAATATTAGGAGTTGCAGTCCAGCAACATCTGGAGGACCATGCAATTCTCACCCCTATTATAATAATCCTATTATATTATTCACAGTAAATACACTGAAATGAATGGGATTGAATTATTAAATTAAAATATTATGGGTTGACTCACCATTTCTAAATTGATCCAAAGGTTGCCCTATGAGGAACGACCTAGGGAGCTGGGTATGTTTAGCCTGAAGAAGAGAAGGTTAAGAGATGATATGATAGTCCTGTTTAAATATCTGACGGGATGTCATTGAGGAGGGAGCTAGCTTGTTTTCTGCTGTTCCAGAAAATAGGATTTGGAAGAACGGATGCAAGCTACAGGAAGAGATCCCACCTAAACATTAGGAGGCACTTCCTGACAGTAAGAGCTGTTTGATGGTGGAAGACATTCCCTCAAAGTGTGATGGTGTCTCCTTCTTTGGAGGTCTTTAAAGAGAGGCTGGCTGGCCATCTGCCAGAGGTGATTTGATTGGGAGTTTCTGCATGGCAGGGGGTTTGACTGGATGGCCCTTGGAGTCTCTTCCAACTCTATGATTCTATGGTTCAGTTTAGGGCTAAACAAACGATCCCATTAGCAGGGATACAGACAGTGGCTTTTTTCTTGAATCAGTGCTACAGCCTATTTCATAACCTGCTCTAAACCGTCATGGAGTTTGTAATTCTAGTCTTAGCCCTGTACCTGATCTCAACTGACCTGGCAGATCACACCAGTCTTACTAGGCCTGCTGGCCATGCCTCCTCTGCATGCAAATTCTTTGATGAGAAGTGACAAAGGTTAGCACAGATGCTCTTTCCACATGACAAACAATCCTATGGCTTCTCTCTTTTACAAATTCCATAATCCCACTCTAAGAAACAGGTTGGTGACAAAGCTCCCTCCGCAACCCAATCATTTACGGTTCCCAAACTCTGGTCCACCAGATGCTTGGACTTCCGCTTCTAGAATTTCTGAGTATAGGCCAAGCTGGCTAGGATTTTTGGGAGTTGTCCAAAATATGTGGTAGACTAGTCTGGGAACCAAGGATTTCCATAGTTCGTCCCTCGTTTGAAATTCTTTCATGGCAAACTGCAGTGGAAACTCTGAGCATTTAGTTTTTCTCTCCTGTGACCTTCCTGCTTTGACTGGGAGTTCCTGCATGGCAAGGGGGGTTGGACTGGATGGCCCTTATGGTCTCTTCCAACTCTATGATTCCTTTATGGCTTATGAAGTTTGTGTCTGGTGACACTCTGCCAACACGCCTAGCATTTATATGGGTCTTCTTCTGGATGAGTTCCTTGATGAAAAAAAAATAGGCTTTTAGGTGTCTTGAAAGTCTCTGTACACTTGAGGGATTTAAAGAGTTTCTCTAGCATGTGAGTTCTTTGGGACTAATAAGATCTGCCCTGTATGTGAAGCTCTCCCCATACTGCAAAAAATGCCATGGCTTGTCTCTTATGTGAGTGCCTGTCTGAGGTTTGGGTTTCTATTAAAATCCTTTCCAATCAAACATTTACACTTTCTTCTCTTCTATGGGAAGGCTCTTCCCATATTCCCAACAATTTATCTGTTTTTTTTCTGGAGGATGAATTCTTCCCAGGTGTCTTCTGAGGTTTGTACTTCTGTTAAAGCTCCTTCCACACGCCAAGCATCTATATGGCCTTTCTCCTGTGTGAGTTCTTTGATGGCCAATTAGGATTTCGCCAGAACCAAAGCACTTTCCACACTCCAAGCATTGATAGGGCTTCTCTCCTGTGTGGGAAATTACATGTCGAGTGAGACCATTCTTGAAGGGGAAGCTCTTTCCACACTCCAAGCACTGGTAGGGTTTTTCGTTTGTGTGCGTTCTCTGATGGGTATTGAGGTTCGATTTGATAGTGAAGCGCTTTCCACATTCCAAACACTGATACGGTTTCTCTCCCGTGTGAGTTCTTTGATGAGCAATGAGGTTTGCCTTTCGACTTAAGCTCTGTCCACACTCCAAGCATTTGTATGGCTTCTCCTGTGTGTGAATTCTCTGGTGTCTACTGAGGCACGAACTTGCAAGAAAGCTCTTCCCGCAATCCAAGCATTTATATGGCTTTTCTGCTCCGTGATTTCCTCGATGTCTAAGGAGCTCAGTACTTCGACTGAAGCTCTTCCCACACTCCAAGCAGGTATAGGGCTTTTCTGCCATGTGAGTTTCTCGATGTCGAATGAGGCTGCTCTGTTGATTGTACCTCTTTCCGCACTCCAAACATTTATATTGTTTCTCCTGTGTGTGACTACTTTGATGTCTGCTGAGGTATGAACTCCCTGAGAAGCTCTTTCCACACTCCAAGCATCTATACGGCTTTTCTGCTGTGTGAGTTACTTGATGTTGGCCGAGGCCACTGTTTTGCCTGAATCTCTTTCCACACTTCATGCATTCATATGGCTTTTCGGCTGTGTGAGTTCCTCGATGACGAAGAAGGGTGGCGCGTCGTTTGAAGCTCTTTCCACACTCCAAACATTTGTATGGTTTCTCCTGTATGTGACAACTTTGATGTCTGCTGAGGCATGAAAACTTTGCAAAGCTTTTCCCACACTCCAAGCATCTATATGGCTTTTCTGCTAGGTGAGTCACTAGGTGATGGATGAGGGCACTGCTTTGACTGAATGTCTTTCCACACTCCAAGGATTTATATGATTTCTCCTCTTTGAGGATTTTGCAATGCACTTCAGAGTTTGATTCAGAATTGACATGTCTCTTACATCCATACCTTTTCGTCATTTCCTCTCTTTTATTTGCTTTTTCTGAAACTGCGATTTTATGCTGGTCCCTGCCCTGGAAAGCAGATTTATTCCTCTTCTTCCAAATTGGTTCACTTTTTCTTCTCTGCTCTTCTGGCTTTTTACATTTGCCTCCTTCTACCCACTCTTTTCCCCATTTGTCAGCTGCTGCAACGAATAAAAGAATAAAACAGTTAAACATGTAAATTGATCCAATACAACAAGAACTCAGTGGCATCACTAGGGGTTGGGGGGTGAGGAGTGTAGTGAGTGACACCCCAGTGTGATGGTACATTTTT